GAAACCCCTTTCCCGAAAAAATAAAATCCCAACAACAGCACATGCTTTACTGACATGGAGGCCTTGTTAGGCAGCCCCACAGAGACAGAGTCACCACTTGTAAGCCACCATGTGTGAAGGCTTAGCAGATAAGAAGTATCTTAACAAGATCTGTACAGAGCTCTCAGTCCTGACTTTGTGTCCTTTGTTGAGATAGTTTTGCTATGTAGCCCTGTGCTTACTGTACATAGCCCTTGCTGGCTTTGAACTCCCATCCTCCTGCCTCAGCCCTTACATCAGCTTGGTCTTCTTACCCTTTAGGTGACTATGCTGCCTGTTCCACTCATGATTCTCATGCCTCCAGGAGGCCTGAGGCAGGAAGACAAGAGTCACCGGCCTGGGACACACGCCTAGAGCCAGTGTTCTCCAAAAGAACACAAGGGAGAGCCAGTCTGGCAGAAGCCTTTCACCAGGGGAGAAGGATTCCAGCACCATTGACATTTACTGAAGGTTTTGGACAGTGACAACATTCCTTTCAGGCAGAACTGTCTGAGATAAGATTGTGAAGGCAGCAGTGAACTGCCTGTATACCAAGGCCTGAGGACACATGATTACTATCTCCTTCCCCAGCTATAAACCTGCAATTTCCTAGGAATCCCACAGGAGCAGCCTTTTACAGTAAAAGGCTTGTCTTGACACCTTGTCCAACCTTTCCGAGCCATGGCTTTCCCTTATCAGATTGCAACTGTACATGCAGTATCTAGGGCAGGAGGTGCCCTAGAACCTCACCTACTGTAAAGGGGTAAAGGGAGGTGATGGGGAGGCATTCCTTAGACACCACTAAGATATGCTGGTCTTGCAAGGAGATGATTGGGTTCCCAGCATTCAGGTCAGGCAGCCCACACCCACTCTGGTTCCAGAGATCTAACGCCCTCCTCTGGCCTCTTTGGGCACTGCGCTCACGCCTGTACAAATCCACACGGATGCACGTATAGACATAGTTAAAATCTTTTTTTAAAAATGTAAAAAAGAAGCTGGACATGATGGTGCATGCCTGTGATCCCAGCACTTGGGAGGCAGAGGCAGGAGGATCTCTGTGAGTCTGGGCCAGCCTGGACTACAAAGAGAGCTCCAGGACAGCCAGGACTATTACACGGAAAAACTCTGTCTCGAAAAACCAAAGCAAAACCACAAAGACAAAAAATTTAAAAAGGCCAGGTAGTGGTGGCACATGTCTTTAATCCCAGCACTCAGGAGGCAGAGGCAGACAGATCTCCCTGAGTTTCAAGGTCAGCCTGGTTTATAAAGAGCTCCAGGACAACCAAGGCTACGTGGAGAAACCCTGTCTTGAAAAAAACAATAACAAAATTAAAATAAAGAAGCTTCCCAGCAGAGGCAGGTGGATCTCTGTGAGCTTTGAGGCCAGCCTGATCTACAAAGTAAGTTTCAGTACAGCCAAGACTACACAGAGAGAAACAAAAACAAAAATTAAAAAAATATATATTATTTCAATAGTGTCCCAAAACCTACAAGAACGTATGCCCATGAGGCTGGAGAGATGGCTCAGTGGCTAAAGGTGCTCACACAGAGGACCTGTGTGGAGGCCCAGCATCCACATGGCAACTCCCACCTGCCTGTAACTCCAGTTCCAGGAAAGCCAACATCCTCTTCTGACCTTCTCAGGCTTCTCCACGCATGTGGTGAACATGCATCACTCAAGAACATGCAGGAGCACTCGCACACACAAATGCCAGATGTTACTATACACTAACATGCAGCAAATAATAAAGTTTTTAAAGAACCTCTCCGCAGGCCTGGAGAGACAGCTCAGAGGTTAAGAGCACTCGCTGTTCTTCCTAGAGGTTCTGAGTTCAATTCCCAGCAACCACAGGGTAGCTCACAACCATCTGCAGTGAGATCTGATGCCTTCTTCTGGCATGTAGGCATAGACACAGGCAGAACGCTGTATACATAATAAATACATCTTCTAGTAAACTCCAGCTCTGCCTCATACTGGCTCATCCTCATTCTGCAGTAAAGTCAAGAATCCTCCCTTCCTGATGAGGCTCCTGAGATGGCTCAGAGGTTGAGAGCATCTCTGCCTGCTCTTCCTGAGGACCCTTGTTCAGTTCCTAGCACCCACATGGCAGCTCACAACTGTACCTCCAGTTCCAGGGGATCCAATGCCATCTCTCAGCTTCTGTAGATACCAAACATTCATGGACATACACGCAAGCAAAACATTCATGCACACAGAAAATTAAGTTGAAAAAATTTGTTTTTGTTTTGTTTTTCGAGACAAGATTTTTCTGTGTAGCCCGACTGTCGTGGAACTCACTGTGTAGACCAGGCTGGCCTCAAACTTGGAGATCTGCCTGCCTCTGCCTCCCAAGTGCTGGGATTAAAGGCGTGTGCCACCACTGCCTGGCTAAGCCTGAGAAATTCTAGCCAGGTGTGGTGGTGCATGCCTGTTATCCCAGCACTTGGGAGGCAGAGGCAGGCAGATCTCTGTGAGTTCAAGGCCAAGCCTGGTCTACAAAGGGAGTCCAAGACAGCCAAGGCTACACGGAGAGACCCCGTCTCGAAAAACCAAAATTAAAAAAAAAATAAAAAAAAGCAAAGTCTGTATTTGAAACCATAATAAAAGGTGCTTGATTTTTCTTTGTTGCAAATACGAGGCCTCTTACTTTCTTCAGAATCAATGTCTGTTATTTTCGGATGTGTGTAAATGTGTATTCATACTGGCAGCGCTGGTACACGCACATCTGTGGCAAATGCTCTGCCACACTTAGCTAGCTAGAGTCCCAGCTGCAGACATTTTTAATGGGCTCAACAAGCCTCTTGTTGTCTATCCCAGCCTTTTTCTCACTGACCACGTCCATCTCTAAACATTGAGGACGATAGAACCCCACTCCCTGGTGTCACAGGAAATGATCTAACCTTAGCTGTCATCTGACTGCCAACTACAAATGCCAGGTTCGTAGACGGAGAAGAAAATCAGTAAGTTTGCCATCTGGGTTAATGCTTAGTATTAAATGTCTGGGCTATGGAGATGCTGTGGGACAGAGCTCTTGCTGTGTGTGACGGTTAATGGTTAAGATTGACTGTCAACTTGACAGGATCTAGGACCATTCAGAGGCCAAGCATCTGGGCAGACCTGTGAGAGAGCATCTTGATTATATTAACTGAAATGGAAGGAGCCACCCGAATATGGGCCGTGTCTTCCAGTGGTGGCCCTGCCATCATGAACCCCAAAGGGCCACACTTTGCCTTTTGCCTGCTTGTCTTTACGTCTAGCTGACGAGTTAATCTATACTGCTTTGGGATGCATCTATCTGCTGACGCCAGGACCTGGCTTCCTCGGTCTGCCAGTGTGGACCGAAGGCTGGTGTCTTTCTGGGACTCCTTCGGGCCTTCAGCAGTAGACTGGCACTGCTGAAAGGCTAATGGCCCTCAGACTCTCCAGTGTGAAGACAGCCACTGTGGGACTACCCAGCCAGCTTGATAAGTCCTCGCTCTTTCTCGCTCTCCCTACACATGCACGCAGGCACGCACACACAACATATCTATCTGTCTGTCTGTCTATCTATCATCTATCAGGTGTATATTATGCCTGCTAGAGTACCCTGACTAGTACACCATGGAGGTGTGTTAGTGTGTATGTATATATGTAAATATATATGCATATATATGCCCGTGCATATGTGCATATATGTATAAATGGCACACGTTCTGCCTTCTAGAGAACCCTGACTGATACACCATGGAGGCATGAGGACCTGAGTTCAGAGCCCAACCCACATGGAGTCAGTGGAGCATCTGTGAACCCAGCTGTCCCGCAGCCAGAGAGAAGACAGAGGCGGGAGAGTTCCCAGAAACTGCTAGGCCAACAGCAAGAGACCCCATTTTCCCAAACAGGGTGGAAGGCAAGGACTGACACCAGAGGCTGTCCTGAAGACACACACTCTCCCTCTCCTTTTTCTAGATTGGCAGAATACTGTTTTAATTTTATGCCTTCAGGTCAGTAATCAGAGACAAACACAATGAGGTGTGCTTTGGAGTGTGGGTGCTGGGGAAGGCAACAGGCTGTTCCTGGTGGTGGTGCTCAGGAGCCGGTGTCAAGGGTGACCTGCAGTTTGCTGTCTGCCTTGAGTAACTTCCCAGAGCAAACCCTGGGACCCATCCCTGGGCTTGAAGCTCTTCTGTGTGCAGTGCTGACAAAAGTACTCTCTTCTCTCCTGGGAGCAGAGAAGCCCACAGGCTGTTCCCAGGAGTCCCCTTTTGGCTCATTAGGACCCTTGAGCATCCTGCAGCGGCTCTCTCCTTTGATCTCAGAGCCCATCCCCAGGGCCACCAGCTCAGCTCCCCAGCAGCTGTGTTTACTCTTGAGGCTTCAATATACTCCAGCGGGCCTGGCAAATCCTGACACCTTGGATCCTTGGCATCCGGGTGGTCTGTAGTTAGGACTCAGGCACTGAAACACTTGGATGCTAAGTCCTGTAGGTAGGTCCCCTACTACGGGTAGCAGGAGTCAAGGCAGGTGTCACCTGGGATCTTCATGGGGAAAAAAAGGATAGACAGTTGGAGTAAGTGTGAGAGGGGCAGAGGAGCTAGTGTTGCCCTTGGGAAACTTGGACTCCATCCCTTATCCAGAAAAGTGAGAAGGCAGTAGTACCCTGAGAGCCTGCAGCCAGGTGGGAAGGGCGAGAGCCCAGGTCAGGGGCTCTGAGGGGCAAAACAAGAGGCTAAGGGGACTCTCCCAAGCAGAGGTGCTGAGGCCCTGACTCAGCGGGGCAGCAGTGGGCTGGCCAGGAGGGGTCGGATCAAGAGGCATTGAGGACTAGGTCACTTGTGTGTGACTCCGGAGCGGCGGGTAGGTCACGGCGCCGGCTTAGCACGCCCGACAGCACTAACGCGCGGGTGCCGGGCCAAGCAAATCTTTTGTCCTGGGCGGCGCTGAGCCAGCAGGCGCCACAGAGTATATACCGGGTCTCGGGTCTCGCCGCTGCCAGCGACACACCATGGCGCAGCGCTCCGGGAAGGTGAGTGTGCCCGTAGCCTCGGGGACCACACCCCTAGACGCGCGCGCGCACGCGCGCGGGGAAGGTACAGACTGATCCCAGATGTTCTTTGGGTGTGTGACAAAGTCAAGCAGGGCTGGCTGAATGAGGCGACCTCCCTCTGTTGGTTGAGGGCGTGTCTGGGGTGTGTGGGTAGGAAGGTCGCACACTCCCCATCCCTCTTTTACGGGATCCCCAAGTCAGGAGGAGTTTGATCAGGCCGATGCTCGGAGTGGTGAATCTCTGATGGGTGGTACGGTGGAATCTCTTCTTCACTACGTGTGTGTGTGGGGGGGGGAATGTGGCCTCTGTCCCCTCATCCTTCAGCATCTTCTCCTCTCCCCACTTGACTGGAGGCTGTGTTCTCTGAAGTGTGTGGAACTTGGAGGGAACCTCCAAATCCTTTGACTGTTGAGATCTTCCAGGATGTCCTAGAGGCCCTAAGCAGACCTGCCTTATACAAGAAGGGCACCCGCCGGTGTGGCTATCCCCTCCCTTCCTCTAATGTCTGGGTCCTAGCAGATCCAGAAACTGTTTGGCCTCCAAATGTTCCCAGCAAGCACATCTGTGGGAAACGTCACTGATCTGTCTGCATGGGCTGGGCCGTGCTTCAGTAACAAACAGCACCTGGCAGAGCAGGAAAGGAAGGAACCCTGGATCGATGCGCGCAGGGAAGGACGGTGCCGCTATATCCCTTTGGGAAGGGTGAAAATTAGTGAGATGGAAATGATGGCAATTTCTGGATGATGTGTGTGACTATTCCAGAGAGTCCTTCTGAGACCACAGTTCTTGAGGACCAGGGAGTTACTAAGTGATTGGAACTCCTAGGATGGGGAGTGATCTGCAGGCTATGGTTGCCCCATCTGTTTAGTTTGGGACAATGATAACCTCTCAGTTTTACTGCCAAGGGTTCATAAAATTCCAAGTCTGATCACCTACCTGCTACTCAAAGGTGTGTCCAAGAAAAAGATCTGAGGACACACTCAGTTGGCAGAATGTTTACCTAAATACATAAAGCTTTGGGTTCTATCCCCAACACGGCACAAACTGGGCCTGGTGGTGCTTGGCTGTAGCCTCAGCTTTCAGGAGATGGAGGCAGAAGGATCAGAGGTTCAAGGTCATCCCTATGTGATAAATGCAAGGCTAGTCTGGGATAACTAAGACTGTCTCCAAAGCCGAGCAGTGGTATTACACACCTTCAGTCCTAGCACCTGGAAGGCAGAGGCTACTGGGTCTCTAAGTTTGAGGCCAGTCTGGTCTACGTGGTGAGTTCCAGGACAGCCAGGGCTACACAGAGAAAGGCTGTCAAGGAAACAACAAAGACCCCGTCTCAAAAAAACGGGGTGTGGGGGGAGGGGTGCGACAGTGAGGAGATGAGTGGCATTTAGCCCTCGCCTGAAAACCCTACTCTAGCTTCCACATTTAAAGAGGTTCCAGTATTAGAAACTTTACTCCCTGAAAAACAAATGCTGAGTTGAGGTGACTTGCTCTGCATGACATTTACGCCTTAGAAAACATTTTCTTTAATGCTATGGTGCATGTCATATATAGTAACAAACTGAGTTTAACAGATACAGTGCAAGTCTGAAAATTGTCCAATTTTAAGTGGGCACCTAGACAAAGGAGAAACCCCCATCCGCAGAAAGCTGGCCACTGTGTCTGCTCCACCGCAAGCCCAGTGGAGCCTGACATCAGCCCGCTGGCCAGTGACCATTCACTCTCTGCCCCATCAGCAAATAGTGTCAGGCATCTACTGTGATGGGCAGGCACAGAAGTCTGGGTACCACTGAGGGTGTTGGAACCCAGACATAGAGAAGCCCCAACCCAGAATCCCTCTGAGACCATGGTTTATTTAGACCCAATGAGTTGTTGAGAGGTTGGAATTTCAGTATTAGGAACTTCACGTTTTGAAAACTCAGTATTGAGTTATGACTTGTTCTGCATGACATTTCTGCCTTGAAAACCACTATTCTGAGTGTTGTATATATGAGCAAGTGCATGCTGAGCACGCCCTGCACGTGTGTGAGCACATGCAAGAGGCCAGGTGGGACCCAGGTGTGGAGAAGCCCTGATGAGCTCTCACCTGGCCTTTCCAGATCACTCTCTACGAGGGCAAGCACTTCACGGGACGGAAGCTGGAGGTCTTTGGGGACTGTGACAACTTCCAGGACCGAGGCTTTATGAACCGAGTGAACTCCATCCGGGTGGAGAGCGGAGCCTGGGTCTGCTTTGATCACCCTGACTTCCGAGGCCAGCAGTTCATCCTGGAGCACGGCGACTACCCAGAATTCTTCCGCTGGAATGGTCACAATGACCACATGGGCTCCTGTCGGCCTGTGGGCATGGTGAGTGAGTCCCTTCTCCTGGGGGCTGGGAACTGCCAGCCCAAGTAGTGGAAGGTCGCCCTGGGCACCTCCCAACCACAAAATATTAAAAACTGAGAGGACCTCAACCAGACGCACCTGGCATGAGCATAAGATGCCGTGAGGACTGGGAAGGGTTGGAGACAATGCAGGAGCCCCGGGGAGTTGCCAAGGAATCCTTTTCGATTTCTGAGCCAAGCATGTAGCTAAATGTCAAAGGCTGGAAATCTGTCTGGAGTGTCACTGAACAGGAATGCACTCCTCAAAAGTAAAACTAGGGGTCGGGGAAATGGCTTCGCTTGTAGAGTGTCTGCAAGCATGGAGACCTGAATTAGGATCCTCAGACTGCAGACAAAGCCAGATGTGATGTTGAGGTGGGGACAGCAGGATCCCTGGGGGTGGCTGACCAATTAGTCTAGCCAAATTGAGAAGCTTCAGGTTAGCAAGAGACTCTCAAAAAAAAAAAAATGGAGATTGAGGAAGACCCCCAGTATTGCCCCTCTGACTTACACACACACACACACACACACACACACACACACACACACACACACACACACGGCTGATTTGAGCATGGGCATCTAGTCATGCAGGTGTCCCCCGGTAGCCTTATGCAAACCTACAACACTCTGAATTTGGAATGGATAATTAAGGAAGCCAAAGTGCCAGGGGGACCAGTAAGAAAACAGGCACAGGGCTCATGAGTTGCACAGATGTTTGCAACTAACAGCTTGGCCTGGTGTGTGGAGGGAGAGTAGAAGAGGGGCGCTGCTCCCCACTGGAGAAATACCCTTTCTGTCTAGTTTCTGTCAAGTCTCCTTGGGGTAGGATTTGAGGAATGAGGGTCTCTTGGGTCACAGGTATGAGACCTGCTCCAAGTGTTGTTCATTAGGTGGAAAACATGATTCTCAGGACCAGCGAGGGCAGGCTCTCATCAGCGAGTCTGTCTGCCAGGGCATCCCGGAAGCCTCCCTGAGGCTCTAGCCAGTGCCTTAGGAGTCTGGACAGGTGCCACTATGCATGGGGGTCCCTTTCTTTTCTACATCATTTACACAATCAGCTGGGCTCTGGCACGTTTCATTGAAGGAGTGCTTTCCTGGTGTCTCTGCCAGGAAGTGGGCATTTGGGGAGAGGCGATAGAATTGTTGGCTCTGGATCCCGCATGATGCTTTTTATATGAAGACTACACGAAACATCTCCTAAAGGCTGTTCTTGTCAGAGCCATCCCAGGCTTTGCAGGAACCTGGCAGTGGGGTGGGGGAGTCCCCTGTCCCCTGGATTCCACAGGGAGATGGATGATGCAGGGTGCTGGTGACCTCATGATGTTGAAACCAGCAGGACCTCCAACAAATGAGTCAGTGTTTTAGATGTCTTGGCTTAGTGTTTTCATAAAGGGTTCTATTACACTTCTAAAATATTATCATTTGGAGGCCTGCCTGCGGCCTCCAGCTGAGGGCGGAGGAGCCAGAGCTGGGACATGAGCCCCCTAAGTGAATGCCTGAAGGGAGCCAGTGACCCCTGCTCTGGTCTTCATGTGCTGGCCTCTAGGAAGCCTTGCAAGCCCTCACTGGACCTTGGGTCCTTAGTTGTAAAAGATGGAAACTGGATAAGTTCAGTGGCTTAGAAGGCTCTTAGAGTAAGAGGGTCCTTTCTCCCACCACATCCCATGGAAGAAAATTCGTGTGTGTGCTGGGATATGGAGAACTCAGTGGTTCCCCAGTCCAGCCCAGGGCCAGGAGTCATCCTACATTCCTTTCCCCCGGGCACGGGGAGGAGAGACTCGGAGTATTCCCTTTTCCTTCCCTACCTGCCTGGGTCCTGGAGCACGGAGAGCACTTCCGCATAGAGATCTTCGAGGGCCGCAACTTCGCAGGCCAGTGCCTGGAGTTCCTGGAGGACTGTCCCTTCCTGCAGAGCCGGGGCTGGGCCAAGAGCTGTGTCAACGCTATCAAGGTGTATGGGGATGGAGCGTGAGTACAGCAGGGCTGCGCAGCAGGTGTGGCATGGTGGGTAGGCGTCAGACCCCCTGGGTGGGCATGGTGCCCCTCTCAGGCCTTCATATGCCTAACATGCTCCAAGCAAGTAGCGAATAGCTACTGGCCCATCTGGCTTTCAGGAAGGTCACAGGGCCTCAGAGGCTCCCCGAGACCTCCCCTCTGGTGTGCCAAGGCAGGGAAAGGAACACTTAGGAAGCTGTGACCATCTCTGCTACAAGACTGAACTTCTAGGCTGTCACTTGACTCAAGAGAACCCCAACTTAATGGGCAGCCTCACCTGCTCTGAGAGGGTACATCTTCCCAGTTCAGATGACCCTTAACCTTCACCCTTCCACCTGGTGGCTAACACCCCACACCAGCTTGTTGGAGGGGTGGGCTCCAACTCCCATAGGATGAGCAAGAGTAGCTGGGAAATTTGCTTGTCTCCTCCCATCCAAAGCAGCTGTCGGAACCCAGTGCTTGCCACATGTGGCAGCTCTCCGGGCACCTGTTCATTGTCTACACACAGCAAAGCTGTAGCTACCATGTCACCTGATCTTGGCCCCACCCCCCCAAGCTGAGGTTACCTGGGAGTCCAAAACAATTTGCTTTGAGAAATTCATGGACTAAATTGTGTCTCATGAGGCCAGAGGCATACACCTGTACGGAAGACATCCTAAGACCCAGGACATAGGTCCCTACCAACCCTGGAGAACCAGAGGGGGAGGATGGAAGGCAGATGCGAACATGGATTGGAGGGGCATATGATCTTTAATCTCCACTTTTCTGGGAGGAGCCAGGTTCAGTGGTCAGAAGGTGTGGGCCAAGATGGTGGGCCTCCGTGTTGGATGCAGGGTGTGCTTGTGTTTGTCTCTGATGACCCTAATTAACCCTTTACATATTATAAACCTTACAAGGGTCCAGAGGTAGCTTTGTAGATGGTGCTGTCTTGGGTCCCTGGAGCCCTTTTAGGGACCTGGCAGACAGTGAAGCAGAGCCCCTTAACTACTTCCCATGTCCCAAGAGTGTTGTTTCTGGGTCCCACGCCGGCTCAGGAGTGAAGTGTCCCTCGTACCTCTGTCCCAGAAGGCTCAGAGGGGAAAACAGACACATTCCCCAATACCCTACTAGACTGAGGCCTCCACTCTCTGCATTTTAGAAAATCCTTATATTTTTTATGTTCGTTTTGCCTGCCTGCATGTCTGTGCCCCACATGCATGCCTGGTCACCATGCACAGAGGTCAGAGGGGGCACTGAATTCCTTGGACCCGGAGCTACAGACAGTTGTGAGCTGCCACGTGGGTGCTGAGAATTGAACATGGGGCCTCTGGAAAAGCAGCCAGTGCTCTTATCTGCTGAGCCACCTCTCCAGAGACCCCTTTCTCCATTGCTTTCCCCCAGGAGTTGCAATGCAGACAGGTGAGTGAGGAGCCAGAGGACTAGCTGTCGTGCCTGCCAGGCCCCTCTCCCTTTCTGGATGTCCACAAGAGCTCCGAGGTGGCCTGGGGCGTTACCAAATAGCGGGCTCTCCAGCGATGTGGTGGGAGGCTCAGATGATGAAGGCCTGCTCTGATCTCCAGCAGGCGCCTCTCCCCCTGTTTCTGTTAGTTTCCAACCCTTGCTCTTCCTACAGTCAGACTGTGCCATTTACTAGGTGAGGGGTCAGGACGAGGCCTCTGATGACCTTGGAGTGGAGGGCTAGGGAAGTGGGCTATGTGGTCTTTAGTGGTCTCTCTTTTTCTCTGAGTTCATCCATGAGCAGAAACTTGGACTAAAGGGCCAAGGCTTGTTTTCTACTGTGGTGAAAGGGAGGGAGGGGAGGGCCGGAGCTCAAGTCTGAAGCACAGAAACAGCCCTTGACCACGGGTCCTGCCAGTTCTCTGGTGCAGCCAGACCTGGAGGCACCTCCCCATCTCTCTCAAGTTCCCCAGGCCAGCCCCCACCTTGACCCCCAAATGTGGGGGCAGTCCACACGGCGACTTTTCTGGCTCTACCTACCGTGCTACACTTGCTGAGAATCTCTTCCTTACACTGTTCCTAGAAGGAGAACACCCTCCTGGTCTTCTCCATCGATCTTTCCGAACCCCTGGCCCATGGTGCACTTCATCTGCGCCACAGCCGGCTGGGCTGTAAAGGACCAGGGGGCCGGAGCACACTCCTCCCCAACAGAAGGGAGCCTTTGCCAGACCTCACGTCCTGGCGGCTCCAGTTACTCTGCACAAGGAAGGCAACACAGCCCACTTGCATGGAACACAGGCCACACCAGGACTGTTGGCTTGAGTGGACACACAGTGGGAATGGTCCCGTTTGTGTCAGGCATCCTGTCAGGAGCTGGGTACTCCATGCAAACGGCCCTTCCCTTCGGTGGGTGACTGGGCAAAGTGCACCACCGAGTCACTCCCGCCCTTGTCATGGTCGGTCAGTTACTAGGCAGTCCCCATCTTGTCCTACCCCAGCACCAGACCCGAATCATCCACTGTGCTCATGGCAATGAGGAGCTAGGACAGAGGGGCGGGACCAGGGAGGCGTTCCTGCGTGGCTCCCTCCTGGTGACTCGCCTTCCCCCCCCCCCCCCGCCTTCAGGTGGGTCCTCTACGAGGAGCCCAACTACCGCGGCCGCATGTACGTGGTGGAGAGGGGCGAGTTCCGCAGCTTCTCGGACTGGGAGGCCCACAGCGCGCGCGTGCAGTCGCTCCGCCGGGTGCTCAACTTCTAGTCCCAGCTGGGGGCGCGCGGCCCGCGGAGGCAATAAAGATCCTGAAAGCGGAGAGCTAGCCGGCCTTGGAGTGCTTTCTGGGCCCCTCCCCGGCTGGTGACCCCAACCGGGCAGGGGGAAGCCTGCTGGAGCAAGGAAGCCAAACCAACTCCCTTCGCTCCCAAAGCCAAGCCAAAGCGGCCGTCGCCTCGGGGGCCCAGGCCACAAGAGGGCGCCGGCGACCAGAACGCAGCAGGGTGTTTGTCCTGCCGCGGGGCCCCACCCGAGAGGAGGGGCGAGGGGGTGAGGGGGTTAGAAGACGAAAAACACTGTTGGGAAACGGGATGGGGAGGTGAAAGGCGGGGCGGGGGAGAAGAGGAGGCTCGGGGCCCGGAGGTTGCTGGGAAGGGGGTGGGGTGGATGAAAAGAAGAGGAGGGGCGGGGCCGGAGAAAAGAGGGGTGAGTTGTGGGGGGGGGTTGGTAAGAAGAGGAGGGCCAGGGAAAGGGGGCGTGGTCAAGGGGGAAAGAGATGGAGCTGATGTAGGGAGGGGCGGGGCCAGGTGAAAGAGAGGGTCGGAGTCTGGCCCCAGGAATACAAGGAATAGAGACCCGGAAGAAGCTATCAGGGTCCAGAGGCTCTAGGCAACATCTGTCTTTGCAAGGTATCACTCCTTCGCGCAGTCACAGGTGCCAATATACAGAGCTTCCCTGTGGGCAGGGTCTGCCTTGGGGCTGGCCGCAAATCTGGAGAACATGTTCCTAGGAATGGAGGAAGGGACTCCTGTGCCCCTGCAGTGGGGTTTCAGGTAAGAGCGTCCACACCATCGAAGGCCAACGTTGTTCAGCCTAGCTCCCCAGTGAGAGCGGAAAGGCTCCTTGAGGGTTTTTTTTTTTCCATATATGATGGTAGTCCAAGTATTTCCCTGCCCGACCAGTGTCTCCCGCCTTTCCTGCCTCATCTCTATCTCTCCCTCCCTACACTGAACGAAATGGAAAAAAGAATGCTATTGAAGATCACTTAGTTCACACAGGATGATGCTGTCACCAGGAGCTGGGCAGGGGACCAAGATAGGTGAGTCCTAGAAATGTGCTGGGGATCTCCTGCGTCCCCCAGGACAGTAGAGGATTGTTCTAGGTAGAGTGTTATTAAGCAGTCTCTGGGTAGAGAAACACAGGGACGTCTTCTGCCACCCAAATCCCTAGGAGTGTGTGTCCCGAGGGTTCTCCGACTCCTGCTTCGTACCACTGAGACGCCACTAAAGCCGAGGGGACCGAGAGCTCCGCAAGTGGACCCTCCATCCCCATGAGGCTCGGGCCGAGGACCTGAAGAAAGCACCAGGAAAAAGCAGCAAGATCGCTTCTTCAGTTTCAGTGTTTCCCCTCGGGAGCGGAGTTTGTTTAGTCAAGCCTGGGTGTTTCGCTCGTCTGTAACAGCAGCAGAGCAGGCCTCTCTGCGGGAGAGAGCTGGAGTCAGCTTGTCGCCATGGGTGAGCCTGTCTGTCAGAAGGCCTTCCCTGAGGAGGTCAGGGCTCTTCCCCTCCTCTGCCACACTGTCCACCCCCACTCATCCACCTCTGAGGAGAGCAGAGTCCAGCTGTCCAGGCTAAGGGGCTCACGCTCTTTTGCTTACACTGAGGACAGCGTTATTAGGGGCGTTTACTGAGCACTGATTTTCTGCCAGGCCCTGTGGTAGATATAGTTCATGAAGCTTTACTCGACATGTACAATAACACTGGTGCTTATTATCACCTCTGGACAAATGAGGTGGTTAGACTCAGACAGATGAAGTGATTTGCTTAAGGTTACACAGTGAGCAGGATTCAGACCCTTTGCTCCTACACTGAGCCACGCATTTGCATATATTGGCACATTTGACTTGAACTTGGAGAAAACGGAAAACCTCTGCTGGCCTGTTCTTACCCTGTGAAATAGACGAAGTCCTGTCTGTTATAGGCACGGTACATCTGTAAGAACAAAAGTCAGCCATGATGTTGCAGGCCCCGTAACCCTAAGCAGAGGCAGGTCTGTCACTGCGCGTTCAAGGCCAACTTCATCTACAGCAAGTTTCAGGTCAGCCAGGAGTGAGGCCCTGTCTGCAAACAAACGAGCAAACAGCAAACACAACCAAATAAGCCAAACAACCTGAAAGGAGAGGCTGCAGCTGCACGACAGCACGTATATACCTCATGCTGTGGGCCGGTCAGGGGGAAATGACCACATACCTGAGGGGAGCAGGAAAGACGTGACCCAGTGCCTGCGTCCCCAGGTGCACAGTGGCCTGATCACCCACGTGGGGAAAGGGCTTCCTCCCCTGTCCTGCTGTCTAAGCCAGTTGCAGGGGCTCCTCCTGAACCTGCCTCCCTCCCAGCTCCCGGGCACAGAGGCACCTCCTTCGTGCCTGTGCTCCACACAGCTTTGCACTCGCGGGTGACCTCCCCATCACCCCAGCCCCCTGCTTGCTAATCTGTCAGTAAAATCTGCTTTTGGTCAGAAAGAAGAAAAACAAGCTCCCCGCTGCAGAGCCTGTGGGCAGCTGTACAGTTTATCTGAAGTCCATCCAGGGGGCCGATGGACCGAGGATGAGAGAGCCCTTAGTCCCGCACATGCTTCTCATATTTCTGTCTCCACTCCGTGGTTTGGAAAACTGGGGCCTTTTAGAGCCATCTCCTGTGTCTTCAGCCCTGAGTCCTTCATGATCCTTCAGGCCCCTTGCTGATCAGGCATCCACAGGCATTGTTTAGCAAGCCTAGTCAGACCACAGGGAAAACCTTTCTCTTTGAAGCCCACACTGATGTCTAGCCATGTCGGTGGTATGTCTCTCCCTCCTCCTCAGCCCATACCAGGACTATTGTACAGTCTCTGTCCCCTCCCTTCCCTGGCCTCCCTCTGCCCCATCTCCAGCTGTGTCCTACTTGGCCACTCCTTGGCTGGAAAGCCTTCAGAGCAGAGCTAGGCCCTAATGCCTGGCTTGCCTCTAGGATCCTCAGTAGAGTTTTCAACCAAAACCTGTATGGGACAACACAATTCTTGCAATCCAGTTTACAATCTTCCTGGCTGAGGGTGTCTAGTGGCAGAGCACCTGCCTACCTGTGTGAGGCTCTAAATTCTAGCCGCACCACAGTCAAATAAAAAGTAAATTACTGATAGGGTGTGGTAGCGCATGCCTTTAATCCCAGCAGAGGCAGGCGGATCTTTGTGAGTCTGAGGCCAGCCTGGTCTACACAGAGAGTCCAGTACAGACAGAGTTATGCACAGAGAAACCTTGTCTCCAAAAACAAAACCAAACCAAATCAAACAAACAAGCAAACCAGCTACCGCTGAATTCCTTTGATGTGTTAGCTACTTTTCTCACTGCTGTGTCAAAATACCCTCAGAAGCAACTTCTAGGAGGTGTATTTGGGCTCATGGTTTCGGAGGGTGTAGTCCGTCACAGTGGCCAGACTATGGTGGCCTTTTTACATAGTGTCAGTTGATGGGGAAGGAAGCTGGGAGCCCCAGCCAGAATCAGAGATACGTGTCTTCAAGGCTTGCTCCAGAGACCCATATCTGTGAGCTGGGCTGTATGTTCCAAAGATTCTACAATCTCCCCAAAACGGTGCCACCAGCTGGAAGCCAAGTGTGCAAGCACCTGACCCTGTTGGGGGGCATTCTACATTCAGATCACACCAGCTGGAGAAGAGGCAGTACTGGAGTGGGGGGGGTGTGTGGCAGTGTGGCCACAGTGGAGTGAACGGCCCCACTGCCACCAAGCAGTACACGCAGCCATACTGGCTGTAGTCGATTTGACGCTATGTGGATTATGCCCAGGACAAAAGCTTCACCTTCTTGCTGAGGTACTCAGAGTCTCAGAGCCATTGGCACGCAATTGTGGTACCCTTCCTGACCCTCCAACATGCCCTGTGTGTCTCATATAGCCCTTATCCCATTTGTCACCTTTTGGTTGATCTTAATGGTTCCTATTGATTGCATTGTGGGGAGGGGTGCCCTGACTGGAACCTTAATGGGCGACCCAGTAAGGCCACCGTAGAGCAAGGTGGGGTACCTGAGCCTAACTCAACTTTCCCAAGCCCTGTTCAGGCAACACCTAGACAGCCTGGTGTCAGCTAAGACACAGAGTGACTTTCCATCCTTGCTAAGCCTGTCCTGTGCAGTGCATGCTTTTATAAAGAGGCTGTTGGCTTCCCTGCTGCCTGTGGACCTGCTGTGCATCTGTGACATAAACAGTCCTGTGGAGACCAGCTGCAACCTGTCCTCGTGACTCCTCTGCACGTGTGTGCGTGTGTGTGAAGGGTGGACGGGGTCGGCAGCCTGTAAATGTGCAGCTCCTTTCTTAGAATGTGGGGGGACAGCCCTGGAGCGGCTGGCACATGCTCAGCGTTTTGCTGGGTAAGGGGGTGGATCCAGGGAGCTGGAGCCTGGGTCCAGCCCGGAGGTGTGCAGCTCTTTGTTGAAAGGGTGGGTCAGCCTGAGTGGTTGGTGCTAGGTTAGCTGGGGTGTGTTCCAGTCTGGGAGACCACGTGTCTATACTGTCTGGGTGGGATGGGGCCAGCCATTGTCATAGAACGGGTTTAAAATTAGGTAGGGGGCTGGAGAGATGGCTCAGAGGTTAAGAGCACTGGCTTCTCTTCCAAAGGTCCTAAGTTCAATTCCCAGCAACTACATGGTAGCTCATAACCATCTATAATGAGATCTGGTGTCCTCTTCTGGCAAGCAGGTGTACATGAAGGCAGAACAATATATACATACTAGATAAATCTTAAAAAAGAAAGAAAGAAAGTAGGTAGGACTCGGGCTGAGGCCTAAAGCACTTTAATGAGTAGCCAGAAAGACCCTTTCTATCCACACCACCAAAATCCCATTGGTGAGAAAAAGCTGGTTTGCCTTGCTTCTCCCCTTTCACATGGAAAAAAGGCAGAGTCTAGTCTGCAGAACACGTGCCAGGACAGCCAGAGGTATAACACAGAAAAACCCTATCTTGAACAAACAAATAAAGAAATGGACACTGTACATGAAAGGAAGCT